ATTCATGGTGCAAATCTTCCGTTCCACCACATCCCAAAGGTGCTCTATTGGATTGTGATCTGGTGACTGTGGAGGCTGTAGAGGAACTCATTGTCATGTTCAAGAAACCAGTCTGAGATAATTCAGGCATTATGACATGGCACGTTATCATGCTTGAAGTAGCCATCAGAAGACGGGTACACTGTGATCATAAAGGGATGGACAAGATAAGCAACAATACTCCAGTAGGCTGTGGCATTGACACCATGCATTAGGTTTCAAATGCCAAAATACACATTAGTAGTAAGAAAAACAACCCTTTACAATTCATGAAACACACCACGGTTATCTGTGAAAAGGGCAATAACCATATTAAGCATAATCTGACCACATGCTTCACACAGTATATACATTGTCTGCGTAATTAGACATTTTGTGTTGTTCGTAACTGTACTTTTGCGCATGGGGTTCAGTTTAGGACCATGATCTGTTCACACTCCAAATCTGATATTGGCCACATTTATAACAGTAGTGTGAACAGCAAAAAAATCAGATCTGAGAGAAGAAATCAGATTTGAGCACTAAGCCACACAGTGTGAAGGTAACCCCTGGGAGGAAACATCATTCTTGAATCACATAAAAGACACGTTCAAAATAAGAGAATCTTTCAAGAAAGACTTATCTCTAGATCCTTTGTGGAAACATGTTTGTACCTTAGACTTTCAAGGAAAATTCATTGGTGAATGAAACTATGAAAGACGGAGGGAAATCTGCATTGCTATTACTGCAACTTCAAGCAAGGTCACCCTCAATAAAGCGATTCTACTTACCAATCAAGACTAAACACAGAGAAGGAAATGAGAGACACACTCACATCAACAGTAGCTTCTTCGGGAGTGTACCTACAAACCCTCCGACAGGCTACAATTCTTTTAATGACATTGTGCAATTACCATGTCACTTCTGCTTATGCTTGCTGTAATGAGGGGAGACAGGCCATTTTCCACAGCCAAACACACACACACACATACACACACTCCTAATATTATCCAAAATGACCAGTAAAGATGGAAATATGTTTAGTTTGAAGAAGAAAAAATATGATTTGTTTAAAGTGAGTGTACACTCACCAGACACTTTATTGGGTACACCTGCCCAACTGCTCGTTAGCGCAAAATTTTAATCAGCCAATCACATGGTAGCACCTCAATGCATTTAGGCACGTAGACATGGTCAAGATGATTTGCTGCAGTTCAAACCGAGCATCAGAATGGGAAAGAAAGGTGATTTAAGTGACTTTGAATGTGGCATGGTTGTTGGTGCCAGACCCGATGATCTGAGTATTTTAGAAGTTGATGATCTACAGGGATTTTCACGCACAACCATCCCTAGGGTTTACAGAGAATGTTCCAAAAAAAAAAAAAATCCTGTGAGCGTCAGTTCTGTGGGCAAAAATGTCTTGTTGATGCCATAGCCCATGCTTTTTGGGCTGTTTACACTGTCAGGTCAAAAACAGATCTTTTTTTTTTTTTTTTTTTAGAATATGCAAAAAGGTACATAAATTGGGATCATACAAATACAAAACATCAACAAAAACATCAACAAAAAAAAACCATAACAAAATAACAATAAAAAACATAATAAAATAGTCAAAAACAGATCACATGTGGGCCAGGGAGTGATTCGTTCATTTGCGCATGCATACAATTGTGCAGGTGGAGTAGAAGATTAGGCAAGGCAAGTTTATTTATATATAGCACATTTCACATAAAATGGTAATTCAAAGTGCTTTACATAAACAATATTAAAAGAAACAGGTATATTTATTCCCAGTGTCGTTAATATCAAAGTTGATATTTTAGTCGCACCATGTTGGTGTTTTGTAACATCTAATATTTAAGAGGTGGGTCGTTAGCCCAACATTCAACCCCCACACAGGGCTGCATTTCCAAAAACCATTGTTAGCTAACTAAGGTTGCAAGTTCAGTCGTTACAAACATAGTTTGTTGATTTGGCGTTTCCCACAAACATTCAAAAACTGCATCGCAAACTTGTACACTTGCAACTACACCTCAAAAGCTATTGTTAGAAGCATAGTTCCTGGTTGTGTTCTATTCCCAGTTATCCTCTATATGCCCTATTTATTTAGAAGAGTCTAACATTTACACTTGGAATGATAAAAAACAAAAACAGTAATTTCTTGAATGTGTAATTTGCTTTTACATTTCATTTTTAGAAATTTTCATTTTGACTTCATAAATTACCTACAACCATTACGATATGATTTATATATATGAGATTAGAATACATGTAAGCTTAGTGAGTTTATATGGAATAGTCTCAATAATATTTGTAAAGGAAGCATTTATAGGTCCTATATGTGCCATTTACATATATTTCATTTAATATGGAAAGTGAGTGCATGTTTTTTACCAAAACTAATATTGGATTTTTAAATAAATGTGTGTGTGTGTTTGTGTGTGTGTGTGTGTGTGTGTGTGTGTGTGTGTGTGTGTGTGTGTGTGTGTGTGTGTGTGTGTGTGTGTGTGTGTGTTAAACAATATCATTTGCACAAAAGTTATGGGTTTTTTTCTCTTAAGAATTTGTTACTCCTCATTTAGAGTGTCATCATGGACATTTTACGTTATAACTAACGTGGTTCAAACGATGGATCTGCAACAAAGCAACTACGTTTTTGGGAAACACACGTCACTACATTGTTCTTTTCCCAAACAACTCATCATACTATGATAGTTCAGCCACAAGTTATGTCGTTGTATTGTAAATGCACCCCTAGAGGACCAAGAACATACATGCATACACTACGAACAATTTAGCTTACCAAATTCACCTAGCGCATGTCTTTGGACTTGTGGGGGAAACCAGAAAAACACCCAGAGGAATCCCACATGAACACGAGAAGAACATGCAAACTTCACACAGAAATACCAACTGACCCAGCTGGGGCTTGAACCAGCAACCGTCTTGCTGTGAGACAACAGAGCTACCCACTGCACTTTGTTGTTTTTTTTTTTTTATACTTGTTTCTTTTTTGGGCGGCATGGGAATTAAATTATTTGAAACAGATTAAAATGTGTTGAGACAGGTTTAAAAGAAATCAAAAGGTAAGACATAGCACAGTGCTCATTCAGTAAAGGCAGGGCTAAACAGGTGTGTTTTAAGTCTTTTTTTGAATGTGCCTAATAGTGGAGCACATATGATCATTTTTGGGAGCTGATTATTTCCTTTGTTTGAGCAGGGCTCACAAAATCTAGTAGCCCGAAATCTCTGGGCTATTGTTGTTTTCAGTTGGGCTATCAAAATTTATCTACACTGTGCCTGGTGGACTATCTAGATACCTGTGGAGTTAGGTTTAAGTCGAAAAGACAAGCCAATCATATGCAGTCTTGAATTTGAGTCGTTCTCTAAACCCAACCAATACTGTTTTCAAATGCAAATTACTATAGAAAAGCGTGGACCACATGCTTCTACTGCAACCTCACACTGCTTTTATTAGTTTGGTTCTCCCTGGTTTCTGGAACCATCCTTCACCAGACTGTTGAGCCACCAATGGTGAGCCACCGATCAAACTTTGGAAAATGCCAACATGTAGCGATCATTTTGCACACATTTTATGCCATGTGTACCAGTGAGCACATATTTGTTGGTTCTCAAAAATGTTACCCTGGGCACATTTTCCCAAAGAGCCTGTGGGTTTAGTTTTTTTATGTGTTCCCGAAAAGTTGTTCTGCACCATGGGCCTTTATAACATGTTTGCTTTAACCAGCCTCAACCACAGCACTGCAATGTTCTGCCAGTTCCAGAAACTTACTATTTAAACTACTTTTGAACTACTAGCCATTGATCTGTGGCACAAAGGAGTTTTGATGTTTTGACAAACTTTAACTATATTTTTTCTAGAGACATTCTGTGTTAAGACATGTCACCTTGTACTGTACTTTCCCTTTTGCTCATTTGTTGCCAGACTTTTAATCATTAGAATAAAGGCTTTTGACTGTCAGGTCTAATTTGCCACATCATCTGGCTAAAACAACCACTTACAAAACATTTAATGCAAAAGTCCCAAGATTATGGTGGGAGAATCTTTTTTTTTTAAATTGAGATTTATTTTCCAGGTACCACTCAAAACCGGATCTGGAACAAAAGAAAAGTTCCATGATGAACACTACAAAAAGCATTATTAGTAACAATTTTTAATATGACATATTTAATTATGGCACAATATTTGACTTTGATGTTGCCATTTTTACATAAAAAATAACACAAGCAGGTTAAATTTAGGATAGGTTAATAACCTCTAAGCAGGGCCGGAGCAAGCTGAACTGGCGATCTAGGCAAAAGATGATTGCGCCGCCCTCAACCTGAAAGTGAAAATGGAACTGACCGGTTCGTCAAGTGAATAAGGGGGGTGGGGGGATGAATGTGTTGCATATAAAAGTGGGGACCGTTGGGGGGTGGGGGGTGTCGCGGACGTAAGTGAGGACTGGGGGTAGGGGGGGGGGGGTCATGGCCACCGCCCTCACTGTTCTGCCACTCTAGGCCTCTATACATATCTAAATTGTACATATCTAAAGATATTTTCCACCTAATCTAAAAGTTATGGGTCGTTACTTATAGACATGCAGCCATTTTGTCTTTTATACAGATGACAGTAGAATTTTAAAGCTGAAACAACAGTTCATTAGTAAACCTTGACATTAATGTCATCAAACTTACCAAATCTTGCAATTGGGTCTTTTTCATATTACCTCACTGTGTTAAATTTGTATTATTATATTATATTATTATATTATTGTATTATATCCTAGTGGGTTGGTAGAATCTCATGAGCCCTGATTCCCAGAAATCACCAGAACTCCTTGCATTCAAGCAGAATTTGCCAGTCTGATATGCAATATGCAACATGCATCATGCAGCTCAAAAATGGTGTGTTTGCCAACCATGTTCATGCCATATGAGGCTTAAGAACTATTTGCTCTCTCTCTTTGTCTTCATTATAGTGGCGCCCTTTCCTGCCAGGACTCAAATATGAGGTCATCGATTCTGCCTACATCTCCTTGTACACAGGTAACCCCTCCCTCCTTTATCAAATCTGCCAATTTCTTAACTAACCGGTACTGACTGACCATTAGAACTGTCGATTGCTTGAGTTGCTTGATGATTTGACGGTTTGAACTTCAGCCATTGATGTTATTCTTTGAGGTGCATGAAAGGTTCTTATTGGAACTCTTTATGAAACAGACAGTGTTTTCGCAGAGTTGCCGAAGGAAGAAAGTGGCTTTTTCATGGTCATTGAGATTGATGACAGTTACTTCTTCTGCCGGAGGCTGTTTCCAGTCGCTGGTCTTTGTGTAGAGAATGGTACAGTATGTCCCGTTGGGCTTGAAACGACTAGATGTATTAGTTGCATTACACTTTAAAGTTATTTTCCGTGCCCTGAAGTTGTATGTGCAAAGACTTTTAATAGCGTCCTGCAGAGTTCACCACAAAATTGATGAGTTTAGTGGACGTAATTTGCTTTTAACGTTTTTTTTTTTTTTGGGTGTCAGCGCCCCGAGGTGAAGCAAAATTGAAAATGTGCTTAGAGCTGTTGTGACATAAAGAGAGGAAGGACGTGCAGTGAAAAACAAGGTTATAAAGCCTCGGTCAGAACATACTTGCTCTCAAAGGGAATATCGGGCATGGAGCCTTAGCATTTGTAGCTGTTGCCATGGTGATGATGCTGACCTTCACAGATAGCCTTTTGGAAGAGTCTTCAATACACATGACGTTTTGTAACACAGCCAAGCTTATCTGTTTTCATGCAATTCACTACACACACACACACACACACACATATGAACGCACATATATATTTTACATTCAAGTAGGAAAGAAGAATTACAAATGAGGCGCCAATCTTTTTATTTTTTTAAATAATTACATTTCTCCTCCTGAATTTTAGATGACATCTCAGCAAAGTTTTCTCAGCAAACTTTCCCAGATTTCTGCTATCAAAGCTTGAAGAAGTCATTAAATAACTTTACATTCATAACTTCATGAACCTATTCCAGCATCTCTGGCCAAAATTGAGGAAACACGCAGGACAAATGATGAGTTCAATACAATTTTTTAACAACAACAACAACAACAACAACAATAATAATAATAATAATAATAATAATAATAATAATAATAATAATAATAAATATACTCTGTAAATTTAGTAACTAGATAATTTTGACTAAGGTATGTCTTTAAAAACTGAAAGAGTACTGCTAACGATACTAACTTTGCCATCTTAATAAACATAAACAAAAAGTACATTGATCACACACTTACCAAATCCATAGAGTCAGGAAAAGGAACCGCGTCTTTTTTAAAAGAAGACGAGTGGCAAATGCAGAGTTTACCACTACCAGATGTGAAAAGCTGTAAGTGTTAGCAGACCACTGTAATCCACACACTTTTGATGCTCATTAACAATCATAAAGTCCTTGGGCTGCTGGAATTAGGATGTTGTTAAAGGTGCAGGTGTCGTGCAGTGAGGGGTTTGCGTCTTTAATAATCTACAACAGGTTCCGTTCAATAAACAGTAAGAATGATTAATAAACACATATCAAAACAGTCCCGTAAAAGTCACATCTTGTCTTCAGTTTTGGGCTTAGGCGGCTTTGCATGCACACTACAAGCATACTGCGCCAAGGCCCAACTGAACCGCGCTCTGGCACACGTCTTACAACCTGGCCAGGGCCAGCCAACTGAACTGTGTCTGAGCCCGATTCAGAGCACTCACACTTCTCAAACGATCCAGGAAACAGGCCTGGGCGTGGTTTGGATAGCATAGTGTGAGTACGTCCTGAGAAAAGAAAACTGTTGGTCATTCAGTCTTTAACATCTTTAATACACTTAGTTATCTTAGACGTCTCATCAGGTTTAGTTGAAATATACAATTGAGTATCATCTGCATAGCAGTAAAGGCTGATGCCATGTCTTCTTATATTGTCTCCCAGGGGTAGCATGCACTGTATATTGTAAACAGCGAAGGACCTAAAACTGATCCTTGAGGCACACTATACTTTACTGGCCTGACTTGTGAAGGTTGTCCATTAATATTCACAAACTAGTAACAGTCAGCTAAGTATGACTTAAACCATTGTAGAGCCTGATCCTGGACACCTGTAGAATTTAAGTGATCTATGAGGATATTGTGGTCGATGGTGTCAAATGCAGCACTGAGATCAAGTAAAACTAATAGCGAGATGTTATTGGTTATTTTCACTAATGCTGTTTCTGTGCTGTTATGAGGCCTGAAACCTGAATAAAACACTTCAAAAACATTGTTCATCTGCAGAAAAGAGTATAATTGGGGAGAAACTACTTTTTCTAGTATTTTAGACATAAATGGAATATTTGAAATAGGCCTATACTTAGCTAAGTTGCTGGGGTCCAGTTATGGTTTCTTAATAACAGGCTTAATAACAAGTAGCTTAAAAGGATTTGGAACATGGCCTAAAGATAGAAAAGAGTTGATGAGGTTAAGAAGAGTTTCTCCTTTTACAGGTAGCAATTCTTTCAGTAATTTTGCTTGAATGGGTTCTAACATACATGTAGCTGATTTAGAACCAGCGATAATTTTATCTAGCTTTTCCTGTTCTAATCTTGCTCTTCCTGTTCTATGAAATCAAAACCTTCATTGCGGCACATTTATAAATGCAACACTGACAACCCATGTGTCCAAACAATTCTTCTTCTTCTACTTGTTTTAACTATGGTTAACAACACAACTTCTCTTTGCCATCTGAACACTGTAACAAGTAAAAACAGTCTTTGAAGCTATATCATGCATATTAAGGAAGTTGCAACTTATTCACAATAGAGGGCGTTTGGTTCCAACCAAGTCTTACTCATGAATTAATGACGAAAACTCAAAGACGTCACTTTGTACCAGCTGGTACAGACATCCAGTCTCCATGCTGGAATTTACACAAGGATCTCATTGCCATGACGTAGCTTCAAAACTTCTTTTCAAACCAGAAGAACGAATTTGCTCTAAATAGTGCAAAACAACCAATATTCACTTTTTTTTTTGGGGGGGGGGGGGGTTGGTTATCAGTGTGGGACATATGACTGTCAACAGCTCAGAAAATGTGTTTTGGTGTTTTGTGACCCTTTGTTTCATCAGTTGAACATAATAGAAGAAATTCTGAAGAAAGCTAAAACCCTGTAACGATTGACCTCCATATTTGTTTTTCCTACCATTGAATTCAGTAGTGACTGTTTTTTTTTTTTAGCTTTCTTCAAATTAGCTTATTTTGGGTTGAACAGAAAAAAATCTTTGGAACTATCTGAGGGAGAGTATACAGTAACCTTTCATTCATGGGTGAACTATTCCTTTAAATGTGCCTAGCCTTTGTTTTAGTTAGCTTTTTGATATCAGCTACCACCTGACAAATGTCTTAAAAGGAGACCCAGCTTAAATTGTCAAAAGCGTTGAAGATTTGCAACCCCAGAGTTAAGGGGTTAAAGTAAACATTGTGCACTAAAATGTTCTTCTTGGTTGTCAATGCTGTCTGGAAACTGTTAATGTAACGGTTTATTAGCTTTTTACACATTTAGTTCTTCAGAGTCGCTGCTGTTGGAAGCAAAGGGTTGTGGTAAATGTGTCTCCAGGCAACAGGGCTGGTGAAAGCCATCAGTTCTTCTGAAAGAGTTTTGCTTGAAAAGCTTTTATGAAAAACTGAGTCCCGACCAGGGTTTTCTTGCATCAAGTGTCAAATACTATGAAATGAACTCCCTTCAGACTCCCTTCTTGTGATTGTATTAAACAATATATAAGGTTTATTACATGCAGCATATAAAAAACAAGAATACCATTTGTGTACAGTAGTTTGTCGTGATTACAACTCAGGGTTTGATATGATTAGTGTTTTGTGTGGAATTAATAATCAAATGGATGTACAGTATGTTGTACAATAGAACCCAGGAGTCATTTTGATGTATAAAATAGAGTAACTAAAACATTTGGTGAGAAAGACAAGGGTTTATTGCACACTGAATTTGAAATTTGTCTGAATCACTGTCCGGTTAAAAAAAAAGTATTGGATTAAATGTTTTCTGTTTTGCACAGTTTTTGACAGTTCATGGCTACCATACAAGCAGTATGAATGCCGTCAATTGAGTCTTCAGCACAGATAACTTTATGACAAACAGTGCATAATGTAAATAAAAAAAACGTTAGGATATTATGGAAAACTCAAATAAAAAAAGAAAAAAGTGATTTCTAAATTTACTTTGACTTGTATTTTATTGAAAAAAAAGATGTTAAGGGACTGAAGTGATAAAGTATTTAAGTTGTGATTTTATAGTATTAAGTATTTAAGGTGTATTAAGTATTTAAGGTGTATTAAGTATTAAGTATTTAAGGTGTTATAATTTACTTTTTTCCTTTTTTTTTTTTTTTTTGTATTTTCCATACTGTCCCAACTTTTTCTGATTTAGGGTTGTATGTTGTTGGCAAATAAAAAAAAATAATAATAAAAAATAGACAATGTGACAGTCATTGTAGCTTCATTACATTTTCTCCTGGCCTGTGCTGTATGCTTTTTTGTTTTGTCATATCAGTTTCTGTTCTCATGTTCTCTGATAACCAAAGAGTTGTTATGTTGTAAGACTCAGGAGACATTTGGATGTATTAGGGAAAAAGTAACTAAAACATTCTGCAAGGTATAGCGAGAAATCTCTGGGTATTGTCAGTGTGTGACATTTGCTTGTGAGAAATTTAAATTTTGAACACCTCTTATGCTTAAAAATAGCCCAGGGCCTGAATGGAAAAATCTTGTTTAGTACATAACCGGTATTGTAATAATAAATACCAGAGTACGCTCCTTTCCGCTTGGGTTCTTGTTTGGATTCGACTGCTTGTTTCTTTGACCTTTATGTGAACCCCCTTTGAACATGGCACAGAGTGTAAGCACTTCACAGTGTTCGTCTCATACACATTAAAGAGCAGTGTGTGTGACAACAGCCACTTCTGCTCTCTCTTGGGTTGCAAATGTACATCAAAGCCTGTCTCATCTGCATTGAGGGGCTCTGGTGGGCTTCGTCGTTTGAAGGGTGGCACTGTCATTTGTCACACAGACACCGGGGTGTCTCTTATAATAAGTGACCCACATATTAACAAGATATTGAGCTTAAACAGACAGATACCACCTAGACATCAGTAAATGTGTGAAATTTGTCTTTAAATCTGTCCTGGTTGCTGCAACAGTTTTTGTAGTTGTTAAAGTATTTTGGGGGGATTTTTGTTTTGGCCTGGTGCCCTTTGGGAATTAACATGATTAAGTAAGTAGAATGTTTGGCATGTTTGTTATGGGGTGTTCATATTAAAGAGAGAGTCCACCCAAACATTATGAATCTATTATTTATACATGTCACAAACCTGTTTGAGTTTCTTTCTTTTGTTGAAACCAAAAGATATTTTGAAAAATGCTGAAAATCTGAAATCACTTCCATAGTATTGGTTTTCCTACTGTGGAAGTCAATAATTACAAGTTTCTAACATTTTTCAGAACTTACGCCTGTTTCGCACCGCTAGAAGTGCTTAACGGCAGCTGCTGCACCGATAATTCTATCTCTGTCTATTCTGTTTAGTTACCTATATATCTATATATACACTTTAATTACTATTTATCTGCAACAAGGCCCGCGGCAACTTCCTCCAATGCTATTTCCTTAACCTGCAAGTGTTTATTTTACAAACTATAAAGATCCTTAAGAGCTGTATGCTTCCCAAGCTGTACGAGGAGTGTCATTCTTTTCTGGTAACTAAAAAAACTAATACTAGAGTTTTTTTAAATTTGGTTTTATAGTTCGGGCCTAAATAAATATTTGTGGCGTTTTTAATAATTTGAGTTCATTTGTTTGGCTATATAAAAATCAGTGGATATTATTGATGCATTTATTAGGTAAATTTGCTTTAAATCAATGTGTTTTGGTCATTATCAATGCACTTTATTTTAGCGTGAGCAGTGGAGCAAAAATAGTCACAGCGCCGAAACTATCGTGGCATTGTTGCTTTAGCAACGCTTATGCCTTGCGCTGACGCGCTGTTTCTGCGTGCGGTATGAAAGCTTTAATCTGTTGACATGGACGTCGGAAAACACGAGCTGCTTACACTCTGTTCATGCGCTGCTTGCAGTATGAAACAGGCTTTACTTTGTGTTAAAAAAAGAAACCCACAATGGTTTGCAACCTCTTGAATAGATGCTGAGTAAATGTTATTTTTGGGGTGAGCTATCCCTTTAAGCTGTCAGGGGTTTTAAAGTGTTGGGATGTTGTTGCTAGTGTATTGTCAGGATGTTGCTAGGGTGTTTTCCTTGGTTGTCCGGGCATTTGTAAAGCCCTTGGCACTCAAAATTAACCACCAGCTAACACTGGGCTAATATTGGACGTTGGTCAGTTTACTTTTTGCAAAGTTTCTCCTGTTTTTTGACGTTAGCTGGACACTATCAGGAGCTTTGTGGCCAATTGTGCACATTGAAAGCATTTAGTGCCATTGACGAGAGAGAGAATTGTGAGAATTTTCAGAGAATAAACGTAAAACTGATTAAAGTAATCACAGTCAAGACTACATGGTGGGAGTACTGGAGATAAACAGTTATTAGGGTGTCATTGGATGGTTGTCTGGGTGTTTTGGGTAGCTGCTAGGGCATTGTTGGGCAGTTGCTGTAAAAAAACCCTGGAAACACTAATGGAATGTTTCCACTGAGTAATACTTTACGGTAAGGCATGGTTCGGTATGCTTTTATGGCAGTTTTCATGGTCAAAAGGTACCAAAAAGTTAACCATTCCGCTTTCGAAAGGGTACCTAGCACAACAAAAGGGTTCCAAAAGACGGAGCAAGACGTACAGCTGAACGCTGTTAGTTTTTAGAGATATGTCACTAGCTTGTGCACAAGCCAGGAAAATGAAAACAAAGGCAATGCAATTTTTAAATACACCGTCGAGACATTACACGGTAATAAAATATGCATATAATAACAAGCCATGGTCTACCTGAGTTCTAAGAAACCTTGTCGTCATCTTGATAAACAGCTGCAAAGCCAAGAAGAAAAGCAGAATCTACCTTGTGCCTGTTGCTGTTTATAAAGCGTGAGCGGTTTCACTTTCTCGAGAGAGCTCGACGCACGTCTATATTTGAAATAACGAACATCTTGAACTGATGATAATAAGGTGCGCGTGATTATTGAAGTGCTTCTAACATCCGATCCTTTCAGAAACAGACAAACGCAAGAGTGACGCACAAAAAAACAAAGGTGAAGCCTGAAAAAACAAAGGAGCAAAGGATTCTTTCAGCAACCTAAAACAAACTGCCATGTTTAACTATTATCATAACCAGCTATGCTTATCAACCAAACCCAAGCATAAACTCCCACCTTCATCTTTTACTAACTGCCTTGCAGACATCAACTCCTGGTTCACCTCAAACTTCAAATAGCTTTTCCATTCCCACTGATGATTCTGTCATTACCACCTCCCCTCAGGTTAAGAGTCTGGGGGTCATCTTGGAGAGCACCCTTTCATTCACTGCACATGTTAATAATGTCACCCGATCCGCTTATTTCCACCTTCGAAATATAAATCCTTTACATTCTTCCCTCACACCTCATTCAGCTCCCATTCTTGTTCATAGTTTAGTCACATCCCGTTTAGATTACTGTAATTCCCTTCTGTTTGGCCTCCCTAAAACAACTCTTTATAAATTACAACTGGTACAAAATGCTATGGTATTATCACAAAAACTCCCTCTATGTCACATCACACCCATTCTCCAACAGCTTCACTGGCTCCCCATCTTTTTAAAATACTTCTTTTCACTTTTAAAGCCATCCACAATCTCACACCTCCATACCTTGCTAATCTTATTCATATCACCACACCTTCTTGAACGCTCAGGTCTACTTCTTCCATTCACCTCACTGTTCCCTTTGCCTGCCTTGTCACCATGGGGAGCAGTTCCTTCAGCCACTCTGCTCCTTAGCTTTGGAATTCACTTCCTCCTGATCTTGGTAATTTAGACTCTTTTTCACAATTTCAATCCAAACTCAAAACACATCTGTTTAGAACAGCTTATTTACTTTAACCCGACTGCATTTTTAAAGTTTGTATTGTTTTGTTTTTGCTATTTCTATTATTTTTATTGTGTTTTTATTTGAACTGATTGTTCCAGCTGTCCTGTACGGTGACCTTGAGTATCATGAAAGTATCATGCGTGTTGTTTTTTAACTCAAATAAGGACTAAATGTATGTTGTGTGTAGTTTTTCTGGAATTGGTAACATATCAGAGACTGTAATGGTCTGTATGTGTTCATATATGTTGCATTTTTTTATTTATTTATTTTATATAATTGCAGACATTACAGGCTATTTGGGTCATTGATCTACAGTTATAATCAAATTATGTTCATAGAAAGGTTAGTCATGAACATTTACAAAAGTATTCATCAGTATAAAGCATCTGTTTTGTGGGAAGTGCTTCTCATATGATATGTAAACGACCTGTACAGCTTTACTTTGACATTTCCTTGAGCCAGAATGACGTTGACTGAAACTTTCTGTCATACACCACACCCACCAAAAAGGTATCATTAATATCCTTTTGGCAGTGGGAAAATAATGTCATACCTCGAATAAAATACACATTTCAAAGCACTTGAGACCTTTAAGATAGCCTTTTTATTACATCATGACAGGCTTCTGCGGTGGTCGCTACTGTTTACTTTCCCATGTCAGAAACATTCCAGACAACACAGTCCTGTTCTTATGCCTGTTTATAAACAATGACTTCTCATCTTCATTTATCTTTCTCCATTTTTTTTTCTTTGTGAAAGATGAGAGCAGTTTGAAGATGAACCATGTGGATCACATTCCGCAGACGCTGGCCAGCCACAGTCGTGTTCCTGCAGAGACCCACATCCACAGCCAACACGGCGCCGATATGCTGCAACCGGACCCCCGCGACACCTTTTTCAACAGTGAGCCTCTATGTGTCTATTCAGATCCTCTTACTAGTCTCTTTTTATTTGACTCTTCTGCTTCTCTCTCTGTGTTGCTATTAATGTCTACTGATCCTTTTTGTGTTGTGCATTTGCTGTACACTAAATAATAAAAGTGAAGGCACATGAATTAAATGTTTTTCTTTTTATACTCTCTGTAGTTCCCATGATTGACCCTGCTCATCTTGAAAATGTGCTGCCCGCCTGTCTCTACTCTCCAACATATGTTGTCAAAGACTTCCCTATTGCCCGCTATCAAGGACTACAATTTGTGAGTGTAACGCATGTATTTTACGGCATATTGTTGAATCTAAGGCACGTTTGAGCAACAATTCTTGTGCACCTGTTATATTTTTGACTTGATGTTCAAATGAATTAAAATATCCAATGTGATCACTGCCCCCTTTTGGCTAACAATAGTAGTTGCAGAATAACGCAAAAACCTTTCACAGTGTAATCAAATGGCATAATCATTTTATATTGTATAGACTTTTAAACATACACTATCAGGTGGTAATTTATCCTATTTTATTTTGTTTTATTCATTTATTTGTTTGTATATATATATATATATATATATATATATATATATATATATATATATATATATATATATATATATATATATATATATATATATATATATACATACACTTAAAGTCAAAATTATTAGCCCCCCTTTCAATTCTTTTTTTTTTCTTTTTTAAATATTTCCCAATTCATGATTAACAGAGCAAGGAAATTTTCACAGTATGTCTAATAATAATTTTCGTCTGGAGAAATTCTTATTTGTTTTATTTCGCCTATAATAAAAGCAGTTTTAAAGTTTTTAAACACCATTTTAAGGACAAAATTATTAGCCCCTTTAAGCAATATTTTTTTCCCGATAGTCTACAGAACAACCCATCATTATACAATGACTTGCCTAATTACCCTATCTAGCCTAGTTAACCCAATCAACCTAGTGAAGTCTTTAAATGTCACTTTTAACTGTATAGTAGTGTCTTGAAAAATATTTAGTAACATTTTATTTACTGTCATCATGGTAAGGATAAAATAAATCAGTTATTAGAAATGAATTATTCAAACTATAATGTTTAGAAATGTGTTAAAAAAAACTCTGTTAAACAGAAAATGGAAAAAAAATTAACAGGGGACTAATAATATTGCAAAAATGAAACAAAACTAATTTTTAAAAATAATATATATATATATATATATATATATATATATATATATATATATATATATATATATATATATATATATATATATATATATATATGCTTTTTAAATTCATTTTGTTTTATTTTTTTATTATTTATTTATTTGTTTATTTATATGTATTATTTTTATTTTTTCTGTGTGTGTATTTACATTTGAAGTCAGAATTATTAGCCCCCCTGAATTATTAGCTCCCCTGTTTATTTTTTCCCCGTTTTCTGTGCTATGAAGAGCAGATTTTTTTCACCACATTTGTAAACAATTTAAATAACTCATTTCTAATTACTGATTTATTTTATCTTTGCCATTATGACAGTAAATACTATTTCACTAGATATTTTTCAAGACACTTCTGTACAGCTTAAAATGACATTTAAAGGCTTAACTAGGTTAATTAGTCTAACTGGACAGGTTATGGTAATTAGGCAAGTTATTGTATAACGATGGTTTGTTCTGTAGTATTTTGAGGGGAAAAAAAATTGCCTAAAGGGGCTAATAATTTTGTCCTTAAAATGGTGTTTAAAAACTTTAAAACTGCTTTTATTATAGGCGAAATAAAACAAATAAGAATTTCTCCAGAAGAAAAATATTATCAGACATACTGTGAAAATTTCCTTGCTCTGTTAATCATGATTTGGGAAATATTTCAAAAAGAAAAAAGAATTGTAAGGGGGGCTAATAATTACATATATATATATATATATATATATATATATATATATATATATATATATATATATATATATATATATATATAGATATAGATATAGATATTTATAGATAGATAGATAGATAGATAGATAGATAGATAGATAGATAGATAGATAGATAGATAGATAGATAGATATTTGCATTATTTATTTGTTTAATTAATTAATTATTCTATCTTTAGTTTAATTTGTTATTTATTAAATTTTTATTATTAGATTTTTTAATTAATTAATTTTACGTTTCCACAAAAAGCTAGACCAACTGCATTTTACAAAAGTAAAATTAAAAATGCTGCATCAAATTAAGTAAAATATCAAACTTGTTTTTTGTTTTGTTATCTTACTAACATTAATTTACCTTACAAATTTTTATGAATGAAAAGATAATGAATTTATCTTTATACTGATCCACAAGAGAGAGTGAGAATAGACCTTTTTTACCATTTCAGTTGCATAACAATACTAAAGTACTTTTGTACAGTCACTCAACATTTCCAAGGAATGAATGGGTTACCTATTGCAAAATCTGCTTTTGTTTATTAAAATAAAATTAGTCCTAAAATGTAGTGTGCTTTACTTTACTTTTAAATCATTTAATAAGTTGAACTGATTAACACACTGTTTTGTCCTGAAATTAGTACACTATAATGCTTGTATGTCTGTTTTTTTCTTAGGTCTATCTTTCTTTTGTCTATCCCAATGATTTTACCCGCCTTACTCACATGGAAAAAGAAAATAAGTGCTTCTACAGAGAGTCACCCATCTATCTGGAGAAGTAAGCATGTGTATAGATTGTAATGCCATTAATTATGATTAATGAAATAAGCTATAACATAACTATAACATTATATAGCATGTGTATATAATACTTATTAGTAATACAATTTCTGAAAGCTATTTTAGATCTGTTGACACTTGCCAACGTAAAAAGTTAGGATTTTATTTTTTAATACGTTTTAGCTACAGTAGCAGAAAGCTATTTCAGAGCTGAAATGTACTACATTTAGCTAAAATCATAAGATTACATTACTTATTTAAATGTAATGTGCACAGACAAAAACATGGCATTTTATCAAGAAAATTCATTCTCATAAAATTCATCAAATTAAACTAAAATGAGCTAATAAATACAATTCTTTAAAACTCAGCATTTCTGCCTTTCATAAATTCCATCTGTCTCTCTCCTGATCCTTCTCTAACAGGTTTGGCTTCTATAAATATATGAAGATGGATGAAGAGGAAGATGACAGGCCGTTTTTCTTCCCTAATCCTGATGGTGAGTTTGTGTGTGTGTCTGATCAGTGATCCAGAAGAGGAATAACACTTCATTAGTGCATCGTTCCATCAAGAGCTTTGTTTGAACATGGCAGATATATTCATCAAGAGATAATGGCTTTGGGTTGGAATGAATGGAAAGGAATAGCTAGAATTGTGTTTAACTTCAAAGTGCATGGTCATAACAGCAATTAATTCAAAGGCGAAATAGATTACTGACAATAGATGAATTCAGACCAAAACAGAACTTGGTTAAATGGTTCAATGCATAGTATCCTGTCTGATAATACAAATATCAACAACGTTAATGCAAAAAAACACATTTTAAAGTAAAAAAGAATATCACCAACAATAACTATGCAATGCAGTAACCTACATACATAACATAATAATACTTATTAATTAAAGTAAGACACTTAGCAAGATGTATACGTTTATATTATGAGGATTTTACTTTTAATATATATATATATATATATATATATTAAATATATATTTTATATAGCTTTACCCCAGCTAGAGGAGTTTAAGTATCTTGGGTTCTTGTTCACGAGTGAGTGAAGGATGGAACATGAGATTAACAGGCGGATTGGTGCAGCGACAGCAGTAATGCGGTCGATGTACCAGTTCATTGTGGTAAAGAAGGAGCTAAGCCGAAAGGCAAAGCTTTTGATTTACCGGTCTATTTACGATCCTACTCTCACCTTTGGTCATGAGCTTTGGGTCGTGACCGAAAGGAAAAGATCTTGGATACAAGCTGCTGAAATGGGTTTCCTTCACAGAGTGGCAGGGCGCACCCCTATAGATAGGGTGAGGAGCTCTGTCACCTGGGAGGAGCTCGGAGTAGAGCCGCTGCTCCTCCACATCTAGAGAAGTCAGCTGAGGTGGCTTGGATACTGTTTTAGATGCCTCCTTAACGCCTACATAGGGAGGTGTTTCAGGCATGTCCCATCAGGAGGAGGCCTCGGGGAAGACCCAGGACACGCTGGAGAGACATTAGCCCCTTTCACACAGTGATACCGGTAAATATCCGTAAAATTCTTCAGAACGACTTTACTGGTATATTCAAAAAAGCGCTGTTCACACAGGCGAGGACGTTACGGAATTTTTCTGGAAAAGAGCATTCACACATCCATCGCAAAATGCCGGTAAATTCTGACATCATTAACCAGAAATGACCTCTAAACGGCTGCGCTTTTGTTTGTAAACATTTGACTACATTACAAACTCTTCGGATGAATCAGTATTGAGGACAACTCTAATGAAAACATAGAGAAACACTTTCGCATGTCGAGATGTTCATGATATGTGTGTGCTGGCGCTATGGGCACTCACGGACACACGCAAAGCTTGAAGGTAAACAAACAACGGATTATCATAAACATTTTATCGATGATTATTTACACAGTTAGCATTAAGAATGAACATATAAACGTTATCTGACTAACATCGAGCAGCTAAAGGTGTCTGGAAAAATATTTAAAGGCTTTTATTCTCATAAACCGCGTGCACGTGAATGCGTCTGACTGTTCTGATTGGCTAAAGCAGGTGTCTTACGTCAGCACGTTCTAGACGTGTACGCGCTCTTTCCGACAATCTTCCATCTGCATTCACACAGCGCAGCATTCCGGCAAATTACCGGTAATGTTACAACTTCTCTTTCCAGAAAATAGCCAGAACGAATTTACCGGTATTTTCAAAAAGGGCCTGTTCACACATACAACCTTTCCGGAAAATTGCTGGTAATTTTCCGGAAAGGTCTGTATGTGTGAAAGGGGCTTATGTCTCTCGGCTGGCCTGGGAACGCCTCGGAGGCCCCTGGAGGAGTTGGAGGAAGTGTCTGGGAAGAGGGAGGTCTGGAGTTTTCTCCTAAGACTGCTGCCCCCGCGACCTGGCTCCGGAAAAGCAGATGAAAATGAATGAGTAAATGAATATGTACATACTTACATACATAGACTTTATTAGGTACAACTTACTAGTACTAGGTTGGACCCCTTTTTGCCTCTAGAACTGCCTTAATCATATGTGGTATGGATTCAACAAGGTACTGAAAATATTCCTCAGAGATTTTGGTCCATAATGATATGATAGCATCACGCAGTTGCTGCAGATTTCTCGGCTGCACATCCATGATGCAAATCTCCTGTTCCACCACATCCCTGCTCTATTGGACTGAGGTCTGGTGACTGTGGAGGCCATTTGAGGAAAGTGAACTTAATGTCATGTTCAAGATATGAGTCTGAGATGATTTGTGCTTAATGACATGGCGCGTCATCCTGCTGGAAGTAGCCATCAGAGTATGGGTAAACTGTGGTCATAAAGGGATGGACATAGTCAGCAACAATACTTGGGTAGGCTGCGGCATTGACACGATGCTCAATTGGTACTAATGGGCCCAAAGTCTCCAAATTCTGACCCTACCATCTAAATGTTGCAGCAGACATTGAGACTCATTAGACCAGGCAGCGTTTTTCCCATCTTTTATTGTCCAATTTTGGTGAGCCTGCTCAAACTAGTCTGTCATTCTCCTCTGACCTCTGGCATTAACAAGGCAATTGTGCCCACAGAACTGCCACGTACTGGATATTTAATTCTCTGTAAACTCTAGAAATGGTTGTGCGTGAAAATTCCAGTAGATCAGCAGTTGCTGTTCACGTAAATCACATATCTTCCCCATTCTGATGTTCAGTTTGAACTACAGCAGATCGTCTGGACCAGGTCTACATGCCTAAATGCTTTGAGTTGCTGCCATGTGATTGGCTAATTAGAAAGTTGTGAATGATTTTCATTTTAATGACATAGGTGATGCTTAGGTACAGAATGCAGTGTTGCTCTTTCTTTAAGACTATAACCAAGGTACATAAAAATAATAAACTTCAGTAGTGAGACAGTGTTTAACTACAAATATTTAACGCACTTTTCCACCCAATTGAAAAGTATGGCTCTGAAACAGATTCTTTTTAAGTTCAAATATTTGTAGAAATTTTGTAAATAAGCCTGTAAATTGAATATTGTCAAGAATAAATTATCATTCTGTTATCATTCAGAGGTTCTGTTGGACCTCCACTGGTGGAATAACCCTCACGCAGACATACACTCGAACATAAAAACATCGTATTTATTATCGATTACTATACTATGTTTTGAATCTGTTCTATAGTTGTTCTATCTGTTATAATTGACTTCATTTGTAGTGGTCATTCTACAGATGCTGTGGTAATACAACGGCTATAGTAGGATAAACACATTAAAGATATTTTGTTAGAATTTGATGGATATTTTTAAAAATGTATCCCTGGCATGAATTTTAAGTAATGAATATATGTTGAACTGAAAAAAAAATAAAAAATAAATCATATTAAAGCTTTAAAATGTAAAATGTAATTTTTTTTTTGTAGAATTTCTTAATTAATTATGATGTTGTTATTAATAGATAATATGATTTTGTCTGTATTGATCTTGCTATGAGTTTTATTTTGCCATGAATTTGCTGAAATAAACAGACAATATAAACACATGGCCCAATAATGTACTACAGTAAGTGTACAGTTTACTGTAGTAAAAAAAAGACTACTATACTAACAGCATTATGTTACAGTTTATTAGTTCACTATAATGTTGTAAATGTATTTTTTGTTATACACTTACAGTTGAAGTCAGAATTATTAGCCCTCCTGAATTATTAGCCCCCCTGTTAATTTTTTCCCCCAATTTCTGTGTAACGGACAGATTTTTTCAACACATTTCTAAACATAATAGTTTTATTAACTCATTTCTAATAACTGATTTTTTTTATCTTCTCTATGATGACAGTAAATAATTTTTTACTAGATATTTTAAGAAACTTATAAACATCTTAAAGTGACATTTAAAGGCTTAACTAGGTGAATTAGGTTAACTAGGCAGATTAGGGTAATTAGACAGGTTATTGTATAATAATGGTTTGTTCTGTAGACTATCAGAAAAATATATATAGCTTAAAGGGGCCTTAAAATGGCTTTAAAAAAATGAAAACTGCTTATTCTAGGTGAAATAAAACAAATAAGATTTTCTTCGGAAGAAAAAAAATATTATCAGATATACTGTGAAAATTTCTTTGCTATGTTAAAAATCAATTGAGAAATATTTAAAAAAGAAAAAAAAATCAAAGGTGATTTATTAATTCTGATTTCAACTGTGGAACTATAACATGATTGAAAACACTATACTGTAATGCACTGAAAAAAAAAACACTTTGAACGAACCTAAAACAATACTGTAACTTGTTACAGCTCAAATTAGTTTTGACTAATTTGAAAAAAAAATATTTATTTTGGGAAAGCAAGGTGAAAAAATATGACTCAAAGGTAAAATATTGTTTTCTAGATGATGAATTAATTGAATTACTTTGGTTAAACTTTAATTTGGCTTAAAATCAAAATACAAGTAAAGTAACCTATAATAAACTCACAGAAATATAGAAAAAACTGAAAGCACGTAAACAGTATCTCTTATTCATGTGGTGACATGAAAACTGCTGGTTTAAAGTAAAAATATTACTTTGGCCCTGTTTACACTGCCAATTTATTGAGACATTCCAATTTGTATGTCATTAAACTTGCTACAATGTGTTACTTCTCCGCGGTTTAATGATGTAGAAAGAAGAGCCTATGTGGAGATGCCAGCGCAGTAAACAACAACATCAGAGGGAACATGGAGGAGGAAAGTGGTCAGTCATTACAATTTGATCCCACTAGACCTGAGATCTTTCTCGTACCCACAAATTCTTCTGAATGCTGTAGGACACAATATATAAACCATAGGCGCAAACTGCAATGCTCCTTCGCCTAAAAATCATTTTAAAGTTGGCCGAACTTCGCATATTTTGCATGACTAAAAGCAAGACAATTTCTTCCATTGTGGCTAGTGTGGCGCAGATGCTTGAACCCGCCTTTACGCAAGCATGAAATCGTAAACTGGATAACAAGTGTAAACACATGAATCGGAAATGGGTCACAATTAAAAGAACCTGTAAACGGACAGGCAAACAAATTAGATATAGGCAACAAATTGGAATTGAGCGTCAAGACCTGACAGTGTAAACGGGGCCTTAAAGAAAAAACAAACGTTTAAAGTTTACTTAGGGGTTTCACTTTTGTTTTTTCTTTTCTTTTAAGGCAAACTGAATAAAACAAGTTAAAATCTGAAACAGTAATTTTTCACTTAACATAAAAAATGTAGTTTAAGACTGGAAAAATGCAGTGTTCCATGCAATTCATTCAGATTTTTCCAACACAAATCGATTAAGTTAACTTATCAATGTTAAGTGGACCAAACATAAACTAAGTTGTCTCAAAATCTTATGAAGTGTGTTGTTTAAGCTTATTTTACATAAGTAGTTTGATCAAGCAGCAAAATATTTTTTGGAGTGAATGAACACTGTACACTGTAAAAAAGTGATTAGTTACTTAAAGCGAGTAAACCAATTGCCTTAAAAGAAAAATGTTGACATTACAAAAATAGTGTAAGTAAACCCATTGTATCTTGGAACTGTTAAGTTGACTGTATTTTTATAATTTTGCTAATTTTACTTACTTTTTTCAAAGTCAACTAATCCCTAATACAGTGTCAGACTATTTTAGCGCGTCTGTTTTCAAATAATTACTGTAATTATCACAATATTACATATTTGGTGCTTCATGAAATCTACAAAATCTACACTTATAGCCTGTATCGAATTTAGAAGACACACTTATTAGCAGGAGTCTGGAAGTGCAGATTTATTTTAATTACTGTCATTTTAGATACAGAAAAGCTGAAAAAAAATATCCAAATATAATAAAGGTGTATTGGAAAATATTGATTAGTTGACTTTTATTTTTAAAAAGTGCGACCCAGGCTCATTCTGAAAACGCAGTCCCGTGGACGTTTCTGGAGACCGTGAAATACGTCCCGGAGGTACGTATTTTTGCAGTTTTTGTTTTCGCGAATCCATGAGAGGTCGCTGTGTGCGTTTTTCGCATCTCAAAAGTCTCTCGCGAGTGCCATTTGCGCCTGCGCTGTTCTCGTGTTTACCGACCAGAGGCTGCTGTCGAACGAACATCTGTCTGACTGACTAACTGCGACCGGCCGATCGGCTGACACACCCTCCTCTTTCCCTAAACCCAAACAGTTTTACCAATTGACCAGCCCACCAGCTTGCTTCTCTAAACCCAACTAACAATTTACAAAAGCTGTCCAGAAAAAGAAAAGCCCTTGTCTGATTTTTTGCCTCATTTTTGGATTTTACCAAATTCTCACCCTGTTATGAACTTGTTTGCTTTATTTTTTGGATTCTGTTGTCTTACCTGATTTCTGGGACCCCTCTTCCCCGAACTCGAACCCGGTCGTCATCATGTTCAGCTTCTCTCAAGTCCGCCGACGTACCCAACGAGCTAACTGGGCGAACTGGTTGTAGTGGGAAAGCCCTCCACACGGAGGTAAACCGTCAGCTGGTAAGCAAGAAAAGGAACGGCATCACACCGCCCTGTACCGTTCGCTTAAAAAATTAAATGCAGCCATACGTACCTCCAGCTACATAATTTGCAGTCTCCAGAAACGTCCACGGGACTCATGAGACTGTGTTTTCAGAATGAGCCTGGGTGAAAAAAGCAAGCACAATTAGCATAATTATAAAAATTAAGTCAACTTAACAGTTCAAAGTTAAAAACGATTTGCTTACATTGTTTTTGTAAAGTCAGCTTGTTACTTTTAAGGTAATTGGTTTACTCGTTTTAAGTAACTAATCACTGTTTGCAGTGTAAAAAATGCAGGGTTCCACAAAATTTATTCATATTGTCACAACAGATTTAACAAATTTAAGTGGATTGAACAAAATAAATAAAGTTGTCCCAATGAAATCTTAATAATTGTGTTGTTTTATTTCCTTTTAAATAAGTAGTTTGAACAAGCAACAAAAAAACTGAGTGAAAGACACAGTAGTTTGAGTTTTTTTTTGTGTATTTACTTTGAATGTTCTATATTAGATTTTCTCGAAGAAGAAGAGGGAGTGGATCCGGATGATGAAGCACAAGTTGTTGGCACCCAGTCAGCAAAGAAAACCATCCAACCTAGCCAGTCAACTCACACCTTAAGCCCTTCAGACAAACCTGTTCCCACAATGCTGGACAGAAAAGAAGTAGAACCAGGGAACCCAGCATTAAGAAGAGAGCAAAGGCGCTTTTTTGCCAGTGCAAGGCAGCCAGTAGTGCCTGAAGCTCAAGAGATGGAAAAAGACACTCCGGACCATCAAATTAATGTAGGGTCACCAAAAAGTGAGAGTGTGGTGAGAGGTCGTTCTCTTGCTTGGGTTCAAAGAGACCGTAGAGAGGGATGGTCGGAAGAACGTTCCCCCAAAATAAGTAGAACAGCTTTGCTGTTTCCACCAAAATCCTCATTGGTTGCCCTTAACAGTCGAGCTAAGCAAATCCTCAGCAACCCAAACCCATCACCAGCCAACAACCATGCTCACGACAACAACCGCAACCCTGGAAACATCCATGCCAACAAAGAACATAAGAAGGAAGACAACAAAATCTACGTCACAAGGCCTCGACCTGCTAGGGAGAAGCAAGGTCTTGTTTCGCGCCATCCCAGAGAGGTCTTCCCTGGTGTTTTCCTCTATCAAAATGGCAAAACAACAAAGTTAGTAAATCTCAGCGCCAAACCAAAACTTGGTAAAGGACCTCTACGGGCATCGCAGCTATTCGCGCGATCTCCTTTGCAAGAATCCAAGGTGTTTCCAGCTAGCCCGAATTTCAGCAACCCAATACCCCCAAATAGAGCAGCAATCCCAAGCCATTTCGAGCGAAGGATAAGGGGCGTCTGGGAGAAACACCAGCATCCTTTGAGGCCTGTCACAACCCTACGCCCCACTCCTCAGTCCTCTAACTCCTCTGAGAATGTGCCGCCAACCGAGTCGGTTCGTGTCACTTCCTATATGCACACCTCACAGATTACAGAGTCCCAACAGCAGCGGCCGGACACAGACCTGGAGCCTGAGGAGGACGGAGGTTTATCAGAGTACAGCTATGAGGACGTGGAACCTCGGCCTGGATGGGCAGAGGAGGCCATAAATTGGCAGAGGACATTTTCTGTCAACAGCATGGATTTTGAATCGTTGCGCTCCGACTGGAATGATCTCCGCTGCAATGTGTCAGGAAACCTGCAGCTGTCTGAAAGTGAAGTGGTGGACGTGCTTGCACAGTACATGGAGAAACTTAACGAACGCAATGGAGGGTGAGGCTGAAACTGAATAAGTTTTCTAATAAGAAATACAAAGAATTATTGCAAATACTCCAGAAAGTGTGCGACGCTGTGGCGCAGTGAGTTGCACGATCGCCTCACAGCAAGAAGGTCGCTGGTTCGAGCCTCGGCTGGTCCAGTTGGCAATTCTGTGTGGAGTTTGCATGTTTTCCTCGTGTTCGAGTGGGTCTCCTCAGGGTGCTCCGGTTTCCCCCACAGTGCAAAGAAATGCAATATAGGTGAATTGGGCATGCTAAAATTGTCTGTAGTGTGTGTGTAAATGAGTGTATATGTATGTTTCTCAGTGATGGGTTGCAGCTGGAAGGGCATCCGCTGCATAAAACATATGCTGGATAAGTTGCCGGTTCATTCCGCTGTGGCGACCCCATATTAATAAAGGGACTAAGCCGAAAAGAAAATGAATGAAAGAATGAATGAACTGATTATAAATCTGACTGCAACTGTATATGTGTTTATACTGTCAAGAATATGTCAAGAATACACCATTTTCAACTGCTTAATGTCTAACAAATGACAAATTAGCTATTTGCTAATGTTTCATGCTTGCTAATGAATCATAGTCTACAGGTTTTATGAAGTATTGCCTATGTTTTCAATCAAAAGCCGATTCACACGGGCCTTCAGCGTCAACTCTTAACTGAGTTTGTGTCTGAAGTTGGAGCTGACCCGATCTTCATAGAAGCGTCAGGTGTTTTACTTAAAGCGATCTGATCGGCTGACGCTTCCGTTGGCGCTTGAAAAGTTTCCCAACTTCTGCACCGAGCAACGCCACTGAAGCGGCGCAGACAGATCCACAAAGCAGTTCGTCAATGCCTGACGTCACCCATTCAAGTAAATGGGAAGCGTTGATGCTGACACCCCATTTGAATGAGGTGTAATACACTCAAAAAAATATTTAGACCTACAGTATGTATTCTGATTGCATATCAAATTTTCATCTATTAAAATTACATATTTTTAAAATAACTGAACTAATAAAGTTTATATAATTGATAATAGTTAGTTAAACATAAACAAAACAAATATAATTTATATTTATGTAATATCATCAACAAATCCAATGTGTTTAAATGCGTCTTATGAATTCATCTATTGTATGAAGCTGCATTAGTTTTGCCCCCGAATATTAAAGGGCACATAGTTTGCCCCTTTTTTAAGATTTAATATTAATATTATGGTTCTTCTGAGTGTGCCAGTTTAGGTTCAGTTCAAAACACAATTCAGATTTTTTTATTATAATGTGTCAAAAAGTGTCTTTTTGCAGGGCATGTACACAGCTCGCTGTTTTAGGGCTGTGTTGCTTCACATGAAAATTAGTTTCGACTTCCTGCCCAACTTTTCAAAGGGGCGGAGCCAAGAGCTTACCTGCTTTGTTTATGGCAACAGACAGGCAGACAGAGAGAAGCAACGTGTGAGAGGACCATTATTCAGCTGTACATGCAGACTCAGACACAGACCAAGCAGAGACTACTGTTAAGGATTCAATATTTATAATGTGCCAGAATGTGTCAGAGTGGTAGTCACAAAAACATTTGTGACTTTGTGTAGTTTTACAGTCGCTATGTAACCATGCATGCGTGATCCATATAGGGATGTAATGATTTACAGGTTTCACTATTAACCGTGCTTTAATTCGTCACAGTTAATCTTAAAGGCTTCTCAGCACTGTGTTTCTGCACGGAACAAAACTGCGGCAACTAAACTAAGCCAACTGTGTGCTAGTTTAAAGTTCCAAGCTTGTACACCAAGACTAATAACCACGCACACAGGTTTAACTTTGACTGAGGCTATAACTAAGGCAAGTTTATTATTTCCAATGGAGAGACGTGCACACAAGGCAACGTGCTCATACTTTACAGCTGTACCTAGCTGAGATGACTGGGAGCTTCTGTGACCGCGGGAAATGCAAACAGCTGAAGTTTAAGGAAGACGCAATGCAAAGTACACAGGTTTGCAAACCCACCTAAAGTTACAAACAATGGCGCCAATGAGAGCGAACTGATTAAATTGAATAGTATTCAGATTTGTATTGATTCAAACAAATCAAACAGCATACATTTTGAAAAACTGGCAGATGAAATAAAATCAAAAGTTTACAAACAGTTAATGATCAACTTCATTGTGATTTATTTTATGCTAGTGATGCTATTGTTATCCCATTTACATACTACAGCATTTAATCTTTCTAATCTTTCTTCCTTCAAGGATCTACACTCTCCTTCGCATCATAAATGTTGAAAAGCGCCGTGACTCTGCGCGGGGAAACCGCTACCTGGTTGAGCTGGAGTTAATGGAGAGAGGCCGGAAGATAGTCCGCCTTTCTGAGTACATCTACATGTTGTTGCACCGTGGACGGGCGGAAGACAGTCTGGAAAATGTTGAAGGGGTAACAGCATCGTCCCCCTCTTCTCCTGTTGCCAGCCCACCTGCTCAACCATCTCACACACCAACTCGTGGGGCCCGCGGCACCCCTCAGTGGGGCACAGTGTATGCAAAACCTCTGCTATGCCAGCCAGTGATGCTGAGGTGGAAAAAAGATGTCATGGTGCATTTTGTAGTGCCAGGTAAGTAATGTACTTTATGTCTATTGGATCCCAGAGTTTAAATGCTTTTACGGATGTTTATTTATAAAACAGCAAATCCAAATCACAATCCTGTTAGCACTGTCGCCTCACAGCAAGAAGGTCACTGGTTTCAGTTTCAGCTGGACCTATTGGCATTTCTGTGTGGAGTTTGCATGTTTTCTTTGTGTTAGCGTGGGTTTCCTCAGAGTTTATGGGTGTTTCCCAGTACTGGGTTGTGGCTGGAAGGGCATCCACTGCGTAAGATATATGCTGGAATAGTTGGTGGTTCATTCTGCTGTGGCGAACCCTGATATATAAGGGACTAAGTTGAAGGAAAATTATAGAATAAATTGAAAAAGTAAATAAAGAAGACAATGATAATAGAAATGGCTGATGCAAAACTGATGTTTTGACACATTGTCAAGATTCCTATGTGTAGATGATTTAAAACGTTTTGAAACATCCAAGTCACATGACTAAAACAATTCAAAAGGATTGGGTCCTTTCATAAGTGTTTTTTAAATGTACTATACCTGCTGAATCTACATTTTATTGACAGTAAAAACAAACAACCGCAAGAAGCCTACTGGACAGTCCGGCGAATGTAGTGCAACTTTCTTACAGGGGACCTAAGTTCGAATCCCGGCTTTTAAAAAAAGTCAGAAATTGTGACGAAACCAATTCGTCTGCATGCCAGTCAGGAACACTAACCATTCCCCTAAATCACTTGATCAATCAGTTATCCAACGTAGCTTATTATTCCTCTAATTGCTTAAAGTCCCGTTCAGATCTCACTAGATCAGATTATGAGATTTTTGTCTTAATAAAATCTTGAATTTCCATGGGTAACAAATGTGCAAGACTACACGTTCCTTCACAATCAGTTGTGCCGGGAAGTCTAAAATGAGTATTATTTCCCAAAGCAGTCACAAGTGTTGCTATAACTATATATATATATATAGTACTATATATATATACTATATATATATATATATTTTTTTTTATTGCAATAAAAAAAAAGTAATCTTATTTCAACCTCAGTAAACACTGATGCTTGCTCACAACTAATAATTACATTATATAAGGGCAGGCACGTGCACACATAGAGCTCAACCTGTGCAGTGCACATGCCCTTTTTAGTTTTGGATAGAAAGTGTTTTCCAAAATTATCTGAAGAGCCCCAGACCACCATATATATATATGTTTTCCCTAATGTGTACTTATACAGTATTTTAAATGATACTCAATTTGTTTTTTTTTGTTTTTTTTATTATGTGATGTACTTGCATTTGATTGGCAGATATAAAGAAAAAGTGTGCTTTGGTTTGTCAGAAATGACATGTATGTGCATGGAATATGTCACCAAAGAATAATAATGTATTATGTAATACAGTAAAATATGTATTATATTAAAATGCACTTATTTATTTCATATATTAATTGTTAAATAATTTGTCGATTTGTTTTGTTTAGTCAAGAATCAGGCTCGTTGGGTTCAGCAGTTCATTTCAGACATGGAGTCCCTGCATAGCGAGACAAAGGACAACAATTTCAACATCATCATTGTGGACTTCCAGAGTGAAGACATGGATGTGGAGCAGGCCCTCAGAGAAAGCACTGTTCCACGGTACACTTATATACATGCTTGGTTAAAATATTTGATATAGAAAAATTTGAATATGTTGGTAGTTTGTAAATGTATAGATAATATATTTATTTCAATATTTAACTCAACAATATTGTTTTTATTTATTATTACTTATTATTATATATATATGGGGTGTCAAAATGAATTGTTTCTTCGGTGCACCGTGACGCAGATGGGGACAATTCGATATCGGTTTAGTAATAATCATAACCGGTTATTACGTACTGACGTCATTTATCTCCTATGCGCAATGTCGTAGTAGAATACTATGGAGAAGGAGGCGAGGGCGAGTAACAAAAAACTCTCCTACTACTTAAAAGGTAGATAATTATGCACAGTTTAACTGCTTGTGAGTTTGCTGGAAAGTCTTTAATTAAAACAGAAGAAGGCACAGCACACAAGCCGCTAGTTTAATGTTACTAGGGAAAAATGTCTGTCTCTCTCTCTCTCTCACTTTGAACATTTGACCTGCTGGCGTGTTTGTGAGGTAACTTTGCCTCTCTTCTTGGCTGTTAAAGCGATACTTGTGGATCCAAATATGAGCATGCCTGAGGTCCAAGATTTCTCCACTGTGTCTATTATGGATTACCCATGATAACCGCATATTATTCGCACGTAGACTGTAACTGCGACTGTTCTTCCCGCGTCACTCATCGATGAACAGTGCTTTCATTTCTAAAGCCGATCGCAGCCCTTTCTCTTGAGCGGGTGAAGACAATGACCAGTCATAGGGGTGTAAGACTTTATTTGACAGTTCTCAAAAAACAAGCGGGATAATATTTACATTAGTTTATTTGCTATAAATGCTCATGCTGTTCTGTGCATGTAGTGGAAGTTTTTTGATACATTCAAAAAGGGTGTTTTCTTTGAGCAGGTCAAATTAAAGGTTCAGTTCAAAAATCTTACTGCTGTATTAAAGAACAAAATTGTATAACAAATAATATATAAATTATAATATATTTATATGTACAATACATTAATAGATTAGATATTCATTGACATTCATTGATATTGAAGTGTTAAAATATATTTTAATACAGTTATGTATGTTTACTTTTGTTTTTGTGTATGTGTGTGTGTGTGTGTGTGTGTGTGTGTGCGTGTGTGTGTGTGTGTGTGTGTGTGTGTGTGTGTGTGTGTGTGTGTGTGTGTGTGTGTGTGTGTGCGTGTACATGTGTGTGTGTGTGTGTGTGTGTGTGTGTGTGTGTGTGTGTGTGTGTGTGTGTGTGTGTGTGTGTGCGTGTACATGTGTGTGTGTGTTTTTCTGGACACAGATATGAGTATCTAAGGAGGGAAGGAAACTTTGAACGTTCTGCCGGCTTACAGATTGGTGTGGATACCATAGAGGTAATCATACACCTTAAAGTTCACATTGAAATTATCCATAAGATTACACTGTCATTATCAATATTGTCCCATTTAAGTGGTCAAATGCATGGTAGTAGCAGGTAAATAGTTCTTGTAGCTCAGCTGGAGAAGCTAGCAATGCCAAGAACATGGGTTCATTTGCCAGGAATTGTACAATATGCAGTGATGATTAAACAGCATTTAAAAGCATGTGAAATGCGTTTCAGATAAACATTTTATAAACATAAAAATCTACCATTTATTGTATTGCCTAATATTTATTGCTTTACTACTGAGATTCCTTTATGGCTGTTTTATACATGACAATCAACAGGCAGAAAATATTAAATTAAATAATGGGTCTGACAAGCATGTGAAGTGATTTTATTTAGTTAGGAACCTACACTTGCGGTATTACACCTACACCATGACTGTTTGTGAAGACACAGTGTAAGATGTTTATTGCTTCATTAATATTTAATGAATGTCCTGTAAGTTTTGCTGAAATAACAATAGCAATAGTTTTTTATTGATACAGGCCCAGCAAACGCCAGATCCTGCAATGTTAATTTAAAAATTAAACTTCACCTCCACAGAAGAATTTTAAAGCCTGATTCTGAAGCTCTGACCAATGATTTGCAAAGGGCATACTGATTGGGCTAGTTAAGTAAGCCCAATTCCTCTTGGAGTATCACCGTCGACTCAAGAGGGTGACAAGATTGGAGAGTTATGGTGTGAAGAAGCCCCAAAATAGCATACCTCCACAATGGTTCAATAGTCTCTGAACAAAAACTGAAATGACTTAAAGGGCCATGAAACCCCCTTGTTGTTTTCACACCTCTACTTTGGAAAAAGTCAGAAAAGTGGGCGTGTCCAGCTCTGTTTAGGGGGGAGTGTCGGAGGAACTAAAATGGGATGGTGTGGGAGTGTCTATTTGATCTTGCGCAAGTTTCAGAGTACACACACACACACAGGAGAAAGTGATGGTGTTTACATGGACATCTGTAGTCGAATTATTTGCCAAATTATTAAATGGTAAACTTTAACTGCAGTTTGGCTCTTTCAATTAGAGAAATCATTCATGCCCCTCGCGACAAACAAGATATTTTATTTGAGGAACTGCTCTAAGCATGTAATTTTTCATGCAATGTTTGATACCGCACGGCGAATGAGAGAAAAAAAAACTCTGCATTTCCCGGAAATTTAGATGCACATAGCAGGTAGTGTCAGAAAGCCGCGTGTGTTATTCCGGTCACAAAATGCGGTGAAAACCATACACGAGGTTAAAGTTTGGTTGTGGTGCTAACATGTTTACACTCGGTGCTATAGGTAACTTAGTTCGATACAAACAAACTGAATAAACAAAGAGCACTGGTCGCTCACTTACCAAATCTGTAGAGACAGGACAATCACCAGCCACTAGAGCCGCGTCTTTATTAAGAGAAGACTACAAACGAATCCGGATATCAGCGTTTGCAGATGAGAACAGCTCTCAGGTAAACAATAATCCTCCTTAGACACGTAAGTTATTGTTGTCGCGCGTCGCGTACACCGTTAATCCACGCGTGACTCCAGCTGCGCTCTCACAGAGAGAAAATGAAAACAAAACTTAACTGCAGCAAACTATAAAAGCAACACTTCACGCTTGTTTTGCCAACACAACGTGGTGTCTCTGTCGTCTAAACACTGTGACAGTAATGAATATTAATGAAGTTGTACAATAGAGTGCGCTGATTGGTTTGAACTAAGCCTTACTCATGCATTAATGCATCACACTGTAAGACGTAATAAGACACACTCTGGCACAGACGTCCAGTCTACACGCTGGAATACAATGCTATTATGTCATGGCCGTGACGCAGCTTCAAAAATTCGTTTCAAACCGGAAGTACGAATTTGCTTGAAATAACGCAAAAACAACCAATTTACACTTTTTAGCAAAATATAGGTGTCCTAATAGTGTTTTAGCAGTGTGGGACACATATAACAGTCATAACTGTTAACAGCTCAAAAAATGTGTTTTGGTGTTTCGTGACCCTTTAACCATGTAAAAAAAATTATGTGAAGAAAGAACACAAAGAGGCCAGCTGTAATTTCCCTACGTTTCTCAAATATTTGCAAATGATATGGATTAACTAACATTTATGTGATTGTGATTAGCAGTGAACCACTGTTTGTGAAGACAGTGTAAGATGATTTACGAGTTCACCTGCTCAAACAATTGCGTCAACATGGTTAACGATTTAGACGTTGCTGTCTTGAAGCGGGGGCCTGAGCATTCAAACCCTTTAGAGACCTTGAACCTCCCGTCCTTGAAAACAACTTGAAAAAAAATGAGGAGGAGATGGGGGGGTGGAGAGAAGCCAGAAGATTAGTCAACTGAAACTACTTATATACACACATGTGATAAAAGACTGATTTCACGCAGCCGCCATTTTTAAAAGTGAAATCGAGGCTGCGGTGGGAAGAAACCCAGAAGTATCGTTGGGAGTTACATAGGAACGTTGTGTAGCCTACCTGACTGTATATTTCATCAGCAAAGATAAAGTGACACAGATTTATAATTTCACCGCCTTCCTGTGACCTGAAGGTCCCTTCTGAATGAATGGTGAAAAGAAAAAGGGATATCCAGCCTCATTTTCAGCTAGGTAAAGGGAAATGGCACTAGTTAGCTAATGTTTTCTTTCCCAAACACACGTATTAGATGCCATTTCAAGAGTTCACACTTAGCTGATGAGTTATAAAAGCTTGTTTGGCATGCTGTCCTGGGAGAGAGCCCCGAGCTCAAGGGATCCTCGAGCCCGGGGCTTCCTCCCGTTGGCAGAGCGAGAGGGAAGCCTGAGCTTGGTGGATCTCAGAACTCCCCGACTGCGGTAGCTAAGGGAACACAGGGGTTAGACAAATGCTTGATTGTTATACGTGTTAAATGTCTTTGGATGGTGGGAGGAAACCAGAGAACCCGGGGGAAAACCCACGCAGACACGGGGAGAACATACAAACTCCTCACAGAAACACCCACCGGCCCTTAGGGACCAGGGCCAGCAGTATTCTTGCAGTGGAGCTCGCAGTGCTAACCACTGGGCCGCCGTGCCACCCAATCAGAGGTAAAGGAGACGAATAGGGGAGGAGGGGGGTTTCTTCCAAACGAAAATAAAATGAGATGAAAACTGTGGTTATTTATAGTAGCTTAGGGCTCATGTGATTGGAAGATAGTGATTAGCAAATACGAGACCGGCCGTGATAAATCATAAGCACGTGATCCTCTCGAAATTCGTTTATGAATAAACTTTACTTATCAAACTCGAGTTAATGAACTGATTCTTCCACTATATTAGACTTGTCACGATACTGAGTTAAAAGAAAAACCGTCAATTTCCTCCTAACATTTAAAGCACTGTTGATGGCTTTCTTAAAACAGAGCTGATTTGCCATTGTGTCCAAGTGCTTGACAGAAATGCTTGTGATTTTACCTAGCACAAATACAGACGTTTGATCTGCTTAATGACTAAACGGATCTACACGGTTGCTTTGCGCTTCAGTCTTCATGTATCTGTTTGTACTGGGTGAAGAGCGAAAAACTTAGTGCAAACACAGATACATGGAGACTGGAGTGCGAAGCAGCCGTGAAGATCAGTCGAGTAATCCGCGCTCAGCGGCGCTTGGATGTTAGCGGGAAATAGGTTTTAAAACTTCAGTACTGGGACAGCACTATTACAGACAACACGAGGGTGTGATACAGAGGACTGCAGTGTTTTATCGCTCACAGGGTTTCATAAGCTGAAGCAGGAAATCATCCCCACTGTGTTTAACTGGTGCCATGAACTGAAGCCTAGGAGGACACTTAAGCGTATTACTCTTACAGAGATTGTGATGTTGTTTGATGCTAAATTGCTTTTAATTGCTTAAAAAAAACTTACTGAAGTGAATTATATTCAAGTGATGTTTACACCATTTCTGCATTTTGAAATCTCTGCAACAGCTGGAGGTTTGTGATCCACAGCATGTTGCTGCAATGTTTATAATACTGATCTTATACTTACTGGTTTCTTTCCACCACAGCCTCGCTTTAATTCTTTAAAATGGCAGCTGCGTGAAATAAGCGTATTGGCAGACCCACCTGTCTGATCAGCCTCCTCCGGAACTTACATTAGGAACTTTATTTAAAGGGGTCTTGAACTGAGGGGTCATGATCTAAACTTTTACTTGAGCTTTTGATATATAAGAGGTCATTGTACTCAAAGAATAACCTGTAAGTTTCAGAGCTGAAAATGTTCTTGTTGCTGAATCAGCAGTTTTTTATTGACACCAAATACTAGTTTACTGTTATTCAATCATAGTTGTGGGCACTTACTTTCAAACTGGACTTCCCAGAAAATCTGCACGCCCTGTCTGAAGACCTCAAAACAAGAGTACAAAAAGATGATTACTTATTGATTTTGATGATCTCTGGCCTAGGACACACAAAGTTGATTGTCAGCCATTGGTCAGTCATAGTGTCAGTCTGCCAAGTTGGTTTGGTGTGTTCCACTTGTCACCTCTCATTAGGTTACAGTCCGTTGAGTTAGTCCAATTCATCATGCAGTATCGCTGTCAGCTCAGAAGAGTGACAAGATTCGAGAGTTGAGGTATGGAGAAACCCCAAAAAAAGCATACCTCCAGAATGGTTCAGTAGTCTCTGGACAAAAACTGAAGTGACGTAACTTTGTAAACAATTGAGGTAAAGGTGGGACACAAAGAAGCCATTTTCCTACATTTTTTCAAATATAAAAAATATGAATTATTAGAGTATCAGAGATATTTGCACAAACAAATTATTTTGTGGTGCATAACAATTACTGTGATAATGTTATCAAACGCTGTTTATGTTTTATGCCTTGTCACACAGCCTTTTTTTTTGTTTCAGTTGACTGATGCTTGTTTGGCTTGTTAACATATATATTTTTTTGTCCAGTCAGGACCAGACGCAGGCTGAAAACACAGTTGTTTTTATTGCTAGTTGTTTGGCGCTGGATTGGTGTGTCCCAGTCTTCAGACGAAAACAGAATAAAACAACAGCAAATACTATTTAAACAATTTCTAGGAATACTTGTGTATGGCTGGTGATTCACAATTAGCGAAAAGAGTTTCATCTGTTGTGTGTTTTTGTACTGTAGCAGTGGGATGATTTTATTGTAAAATGATTCTTCATGTGTTTTTACAGGACAGTCACAGTATCGTGTTTCTGTGTGACCTGCACATTCATTTCCCTCCTAACATTCTGGAGAACATCAGGAAACACTGTGTTGAGGGCAAACTGGCATTTGCACCTATAGTGATGAGACTAGGCTGTGGGAGCTCACCGCTAGAGCCTGATGGTAAAGCACTTCTTTTGATATACATGGAGAAATACAACTAGGGATGCAACGATTATAGATTTGTGGTTGTACGATTATAGTCTGAGAAAAATCACGGTTTCACGGTTATCACGATTACCATGCATTCATTTCAAACCCCACTAGTTTAGAAAATAAGATGAAAACTCTTTTTATTTTACAGTGTTATTCATTGCTGCTCAGTAACTAATTAATACAGCACAAAATAATATAAAAAACAAACAATAGTAAATTTCTGTCTGTGCTTAAAAATAAGTGAATGTTTTGATATTTAAACAGAAATAATTTTAAACAATAAATACATAAAAATAAGAATAAAAAAACAGTATTTGTCTAATGCAGGGCTTGAAATTGCCAGTGCTCCCAACCTCAAAAATTTAGGAGCACCAGAAAAAAATTAGGAGCACCCACCAAAAATTAATAAACACCACTGCAACTTGTAAATCAACAGATTTATTGTATTTGAAAACAACATCAATTAGGACTAACAAAAACCAGAAACAACTATCTAACTAATGCTGTGATGAATTCCAAAATTAATGTCTATGACGAAGATGACAATAATACTAACAATAAATAACATTTCTCATTATAATTCTGCCTTGAATGTGAGTTATCTGCTATAAAAAGTCCTACTGTTACTTTATGAAAAATAAACCTATGGTTTGCATCAACAAAAATTAAGCATTGCAGTAAGAAATGTTTATTTTGCACTATTGTTTTATATGCATGTCAATTTAATAAACAAAAAGAATGGGGCAAAAGAAAGGAAGAAAAGTCTTCTGCACCTTTTCGGTGTCTCGTTACGAGCTGATTTTCATCTCTCTGTGTTTGTGAAAAAAATCGTTGTGACCGCAATACTGTTGTCATGAGCCGCAGTTTCAGTTTAAACTTAGTAAAGGCGAGCTTCTTTGCCGATGATATGTACAGTATTAGGTTTTACATTTAGCTGACATTTGCGCTGAATCCACAATAATGCAACGCATCGAGTTTCAGTCCATTAAACAGCTGATCCACTCCAAACCTTTCATCGCTCTCTTCAAAATTATCGGTTGATCTCGGCTGGTGGATACACATTCACTACATGATCGCTCTTATCAGCAGTTTCGGCGCCATTAATAAAATCTCTAAGTGGGTTTGCAAACCTGTGTACTTTTCATGTACTGCTTTTTCCTCAGACTTCCACCACAAAAGCCCGCAGTCATCCCAACGAGGTGCACCTGAAAAGCGTGAGCGCGCTGCGTCGTGTGCAAGTGTATCCCTCCCTTTATTTTACAGTCTATGGTCTTTCCAGTGGAAATGAATTTGCACGAGCTTGCCTTAGTTAATAGCCTCAGTCATAGTTAATCTAGAGTGCGTGGTTATTAGTCTCAGTAACAAACTAGAGCCCAGTTTAGTTGCAGCAGTTTTGTTCCGTGCAGAAACACGGTGTGAAGAGGCCTTTACATTTAATTAACCGTGACAATTTAAAGCGCAGTTAATAGTGAAACCGGTTAATCATTGCATTCCTAAATACAACAGCTTTGAATCACCCTCAGAAGGTTACTTTTAAAATGTGTTTTACTACTGACTGTAAAATGTATGCTTTAAAAAATTGTTAGTAATGTATATGCTGAAAATAAAATACCTAGAAAACTGTTTAAAAATGAAAGTCGGAACTGTGACTCCATGTTGAATGTTAAATGTCATTTAAATATGGGTATCCACTATGTAAAACCTATGCCAGAGTAGTTGGTGGTACATTCCACTGTGGCAACCCCTTATAAATCAGGTGCTATCTTGTGCGAAAGGAATGAATTCTGATTGGTTTAATGCATGTTATGCTCAAAACACACCCGTAACTCATTAAGAGAATAAGCACAACCCTGTTAGACCATGTGACGCGGCACAAACTGTATTTTCCCACCCTTAAAATAGCAAACTTGGATTCTGACACGCCCTTAATGCTTTTGTAATTAAAATAGCACCTATCAACTTCTTCCAAAGTCTTCTGAGCTGGGACAGTAAAAATTTTAGCAGAGCAAGTGAAAAGTCTAGTAGTAAAAATCCTTATAATTGAGACATGCTTGAGCTTTTTAATACTAAAAAATGTATCTAAAAAAGAAGACATGCATAAATAATGTATATAGGAAGTGGTATTGAATATTGAAGTTAGAAATTCCAGTATTGTGACAACAATGTAACATTTATGAAAACCACGTGACTGTCTCTGTAGGTTACTGGGAGGTAAACGGCTTTGGTTTGTTTGGGATCTACAAGTCAGATTTTGACAAGATTGGTGGAATGAACACAGAGGAGTTTAAGGACCGATGGGGCGGAGAAGACTGGGAACTGCTAGACAGGTAGGAGAATTTAACAAGGAACAAGTCATTTTAGAGCATTCTTTCATTGTTCATATTTATGTTTTCTTTTTCTTTTCATATTATTATTATTATTATTAATATTATTATTATCTTCATATACATTATCATTAATAATAATAATAATAATAATGTTATTTTCTTATTTACATTTTCTGTATTATTATTTATATTACATCTAATAAATATTATTATTGTTGCTATTATTATTATTATTATTATTACAAATATTTTATACAAATAATAAATAAATATACAAATATTTAGACTTTCTATATTATTATCAATAATACAAATATATACTAATTTAAATATTTTTAAACAATAATAATTATAAAAAATAATAATAATATAATTAATAATAATAATAATAATAATAATAAATCATAATTGTTATGCATTATATTTTTATTATATTTATTTTTATAATATTTATTAATATTTGCTTATTTACATATTATGTATTATAAATAAAGCAAATATGATATACTAATTTATATTACAATTTTTTTTTTAATATTATTATCATTGTTGCTATTTTATTATTAATAAGTGTTAATTTGCATTCTCTATATTGTTATCATTAATACAAATATATACTAATTAATATTAGGATTTATGATGATGATGATAATAATAATAATACTAATAATAATAATTATTATTATTATTATTATTATTGTTGCTGTTATTGTTGTTATTATTTGTATATAATTATTTATATTATTATCATTAATGCAAATATATACTAGTTTGGATAACTTTCGTAATAATTATTATTCATTTTTTTATTATTATGATTTATTTAGATTTTCTATATTATTATCAAATATTATATTCTATTTTAGATATTTTTTACATAAATTATTATTATTATTATTATTATTATTATTATTTGTTTATTTAGATTTTCTATTATTATCATTAATACAAACATTACATACAAATTTAGATTAATAAAAATCAATAAATAAATAAATAATTAAATAAATAAATAAATAAATAAGTAATAATAATAATAATAATAATAATAATAATAATAATAATAATAATAATAATAATAATTTATACTTAATTACCACTGTGGTATAAAATATAATATGGAAAAATATATAGCCGCCCACACATACCTGTATATACTATAAAAATTTATTAAATAATAATTTATTATAAAAATCAAATTTAGTGAACAAACAAACGAACAAATACATAAAGCACAGCTAAAGCGAGTCAAATTCACATGATTACATTTGTTTTTGTCCTTTCAGAGTTCTCCAAAACGGTCTGGAGGTTGAGCGCTTAAGACTGAGAAACTTCTTCCACTACTATCACTCCAAAAGAGGCATGTGGAACTCACAGTCTAGTAAGACTCCTAAATGACGAATAACTGGAGCTCACTGAGAGAGATGTCAAAAAGAAACTCAGCTCAAATAACAGGACCTTGAAGGACCAAACCATTGTGTTCTCTGAGACCTCAAGTAGGACATCTCATAAAGGAGGACCAGCTGCTGTCCAAACTCAAAACACTCAAAGAGACTGGCATTCATTGAGTGTATTTGTACGTATCTCTGTCCGTTAAGTCGGGAGTTGGTTTTCGGTGGGTGAAAAACTTGAAAAGATAGTTGAATAATGTAAAGATGGAAACTGTTTTAATGGAAGCTAGCAGCTCGGGTGCGTTCAAATTTGGTTTGCACTTATGATATTACACGCTGAAATGATTGTCTCAAGGTTTTTGATGTGCGCTGGTACTTAGACGTCTGCTTTTTATATTGCTGTAAATGTCACCTCCTGTTGAGGTGTGGCATCTTCTTACACTTGAACTGTAGAAATGATCAGATACGTGGACATTTTTGTTTTCTTTTGAAAAATCCTGCTGAATTTGTGGATAAAACTGGACCAAGAATGGTAATGAGATGAAAAGTATACGTCTTTGTAATTGTCTGTACGTCTGCTTCCTTTCCTCAAATCGTTTTCAGAAAAGGTTTATTGGCATACGGATGCGGAAAAACCTTTTCAGACTGCTGTTTTAGTCTGGACTAAGTTTGTACTAGACTCTTCATCTCTATCTCATTGATGCTGTATTCATTTCTACAGTCTTTAATGATAGAAGGAAAAACAAAAAAAAAAAACAAACAAACAAACAAAAGATGTTGTCCAAAATCTGTGTGCCTTTTTTTGACGTATTAAAATTGCAGTAAGACGGAGTTCCTGATGTTTAGCTTTCTGGAATGTGTAACGTTGAGGATATTATTAGCATTGTTTCATGGAGATATATGAATACTAGAAACGTTTATAGAAGAGAAATAACTCCAATATTCTGAATTCTCTTGTTACTTTTTAATTTAAAATTGTTATTATTGTTTGGTCCATTTTTACAAGAATGTATGTCATTTATTTTTGTACATTTACCACAGAACATAATTTTGACTCCTTTCCCATTTTGTAGACTTATATACCTTGGTGCCCCCACCAGTGACGATATAGAGCCACATTGCACTGCTACGAGTGTGAAATTGCGTTTATACAACCGTTTGTCGGCATAATCATGTATATAACAAGAAAATCAAACATGGAGAGTCTCAAAAACCCTTTTGTATGAAGAACTACTTTTTTCCGGCACTCATTCACATCAGCAGCTCACGGTCAGAACAACAGAAACCAGTTGCCAGTTCACAAACATCACTTTAGAGCTAGTATTTGAATGTTTCTCTAGCGTAATTTATAAAGTAATGACAAAACAGGTGATTTTTGCTCACATATTAAGATTATAAGGCTTATCGGCATAAAATGCCATCAATCTACAGAGATTTCTCAGTATTTCTCTTTTGCAGTCGGGACTTTACAATAATTAACCCCAAAAAAGCCAGAGTAAAGCAAACACTACCAGTTTCTGTGATATAAATACAACACGACAACAAACAAAAGAGAGAGATCGACTCAGAATGCTATTTACCTGATTCATAATGATTTGCTCATCTGTCGCTAGAACATGAAGCTAAGAACTTACTATGCAGTCTCTTGCCATCTTGTGGTGGAACGTCAACCGGCACTTTCTCTGGTCTGCTCAGACCAATAATATCCAGCTGCAATCCTCCAGATCCACACACATTTTAGACACACACAATCCAGCACACACGATCTAAGCGAACTATATAACGTCTCAGACATTGTCATCAATTTATATATATATATATATATATATATATATATATATATTGTACACAATCAACAATAGAGTATACTATTTCACAAATATGGCGATCGAGACTCGATTCCATCGATCGATTGCCATTCAATATGTCATGTATATCTGCTTATCCGGGACAGGGTCGCGGGGGCAGAAGTCTTAGGAGAGAACTCCAGACGTTCCTCCCCCCAGACACTTTCCCCAGCTCCTCTGGGGGGGTCCCGAGGCATTCCTAGGTCAGCCAAAAGACCTAATCCCATTAGCATGTCATGGGTCTTCCCCAAGGCCTCCTCCTGGTGGAACATGCCTGGAAAACCTCCTTAGGTAGGCATTCTGGGGCATCTGAAAAAGATGCCCGAGCCACTTCAGCTGACTTCTCTCGATGTGGAGGAGCAGCAACTCTACTCCGAGTCCCTCCTGGGTGACAGAGCTCTTTACCCTGTCTATAAGGGTATTCTGTGAAGGAAGCTCATTTCTGACATTTGTATCAGAGATCTTGTGCTTTCGGACATGGCCCAAAGCTCATGACCACAGGTGAGAGTAGGAACGTAGGTTGACCAGTAAATGAAGAGCTTTGCCTTTCGCCTCACTCCTTCTTTAACACAACGGAATGGCACATCGACCGCATCACTGCTGTCGCTGCACCAATCCACCTGTCAATCTAACATTCCACTTGTAAACAAAACCCCAAGATACTTGAACTCCGCCTGGGGTAAGGACTTTCCTCCAAACTGGAGATGACAAACTATCTTTTTTTCCGGTGGAGCACCATGGCCTTGCACTTGGAGGTGCTGATTCTCATCCTAGTCATCTCATTCAATATAATAGACTGAACAGTTTCTATCAGTCATCATAGATTATCAGTCATTATTCATAATATACATTATTCAATATAGCAGATACTTGCTGGCCTTTCTAAATTAGACAGTTAGATGGTCTATCATGTTTTCTTTGTGTACGTGGATACGTGAATTAAGTCATAAGTGTTTACCCAATTATTTTTATTTACATAATTTGAGTTCCAAAACTGCACAGATAATAATGAAATAATCCAAATAATAATGAACTAATGACTGATATTGGAAATCATGAACTGCTCAGTCTAATAAAGGGCAAAAATGGCAACCATATATGGTTCGCCCCTGCCTAGATCGTATGTGCTAGATTGTGTGTGCCTGAAATGTGTGTTGGTCTGCAGCTGGATATATCTTGCTTAGACAGGCTTATGGCGGCTGATGATATGAGCAAAATATATATGAGCAAAATCACTCAATAAGCAGTGAGATATGGCTGTATATCAACACTGGTGGGAGGCGTGCCTTAGCGTCCCACCAGTGCTGATATACAGCCATATCTCACTACCACGAGTGTGATATTGCGCTTATGCAACAGTTCCACGGCACAATGGTGTATATAAATAAGAAAATCAAACACGGAGCGTCTAAAACCCTTTTGTATTAGGAACTACTTTCTTCCGCCACTTATTCACATCTGCAGCTGATGTCAGAACAGTAAAAGCCATTACTAATTCACCAACGACACTTTAGAGCTAGTGTTTTAATGACTCTCTATAGTGTAATTTCTAAAGTAATGACAAAACAGCTGATTTTGCTCACACTTTAAGATTGTAAGGCTGAACGTGACATGAAATGCCATGCGTCTACAGAGATCTCTAACAACAGTCTATTACAGTTTACAGTATTTCACTGTCACCGTCGGTATTGTGAAGGGTGCCAGGTGTCCTAGCTTTTACCCGGAGACTTTAAGGAATAAAAAAAAGGAGACAGAAACTATTTTGCTCTTCCTATTGGCCTTTAAGCGTTTCTCCCAAGTGCTGTCGACTACATACATGCCAGTCAACGACAATGAGTAGGCAAAAGGAAAAGAAAATGACATTCAAACACCTTTCGCAAAATAAAATGTTACATTATTGAAATAAAAGAATGACAGAGCGGTAGCGCGACCATCACACATATCTTCTCAGAGCTCACTAGAACTGAACTGAGCTCCCATACATGCATCCTAACATCTCAAAGGTAAAACAACCACAGAACAGAAGAAGTCCTCTTAAAGGGGACATTTATACAAAATGCATATCAAAAAGCAAGCAACCGTTACAAAATCACAATAATTAACCTCAAAAAAAGCAGCGCGATCACTACCAGACAGCTGTTGTGTTTGTGATAAGGAGGGACGAGGCTGAATCCAGCTTCTTATTCGCAGCTTCTTATTCACTCTATTTGGTCTACCTTAAAGAACGCAACACTTCCGTTTTTCTTATTCGCGCTCAAGATAACACCCAACAGTTTTAATCTTCTAAGCAAGGGCTTATTATGCGGTTCTGGCGCCATCTTGTGGATAGACAACGTCTACCGTCTTTAACTAATGGACACCGACGCGCTGTCTCTCAGAAATGATACAATTTTAAAATAGGTACTATCCTTATAAATAAACTGCATAGTTGCAATCTAAACTACTCTATTTTTCAATATTTGTCAAACTGTAGTGTCTCTGCTTGTTGCTGCCTGTATGTGGGCGGAGTAATACACAAAGGTGAAGGGTGAAGACACTCATTTTCAGTGACAGTTAATAAAAATAACAAAATAAAATCATTTTCAGACACAATGCTATTGTATAAAAAAACTTTTCTCTTAAATTGTAAGTAATTCACTGTAACAAAATTATGTTGTAGGGCTGCACATTGGAAAAATCTGAAATTGTGTTATTTTATTTTTCTGCGATAAGAATTGCGATATGAATACAGTTTCAGAAGATGGTTTTAATAGCTCTGTTTCACCATTTTCTGGGGAGCCTAACAGTATTTGTGTACAGAAATTGAATAATTTAAATGCAAAATAAAAAAAAAAATGCTTTCCTTACTTTTGTCTTGTTTCTAATCCAAATATCAAATAAAAAAATTCTTAGACCAAGTTAAAACATTGTTTTCACCATCAGAAGAAATAAGTCAAAATGAAGAGTTTATTATTATTTTTTTTTTTAAGGAAATTTTCTGTCAGTGGGGTGAGTAAAATAACCTAGTTTTTGCTTTGAAATGTAGATATTTGGGCTAGAAAAAGACAAAAATTCTAAGAAACGTTTTTGTTGCATAAATCATATAAATTCCATATAAATACAGTGATTAAATACAATTCTGTAGCTCCTGCTATAATTCAGACTGGACATTGAGATATCTTTGTGATGTAACTATTGCGGATGCGCACATTGCGATATCGATGCTGAAATG